CCATAGTAGGAGGTCAAACCATTCACAGTGAGATTTTGACTTCTGAACAGAAGGTTTGGCACCCACTTGTCAAAGTCAGGTCTGACATTCCCTCTTTTGCCCAAAGGGAAACATGCATATTGCAGGTGTCTTTTGTGCAGGCCCCTGGGAAGAATAGAGACCTTATGGGTCCCCAAATTTAGGCTAACAGTGGCAATATCTCCAAATGCATGGGGAGGTTGTGGTTTTGATGTATTGGCCTGCCTGCAGCCTGATACGATATGTGCTTGATAAAATGATTGTTGGTTCGGTGCAATAGGCTAGTTGGCGTTTCTGGTTAACCACTGCTGCTGGGAACAATAAAGACCTAGTAGACCCCCATATTTATCTGCTGCTGCTGCTGCTGCGTCCGAATGACCGGTCAGTTCGGAGTTACTTGTGATAATGTTGGGCTAGTTCCAGCTATCAGAGTTAGGGATGTCGTTCCCTCCTTGTCCTGAAGATCGCCTGGTAATGCAAAACTCTCGTTGCAGGGATCGTTCTGTTGCAGCCCCCCGATTTGGTACTGGCCAATAGAGTGTGTCATCCTTCTGCTGTTTGCTGGTAACGCGAGGTGGCTGCCACAGAGAGTGCTGGGTTTCCTCTCTCTGCAGGGAGTCACCCTTGTTGGTTCATTGCAGAAGGGAACTCATTTTGTCGTCATAAGAGATAATCTCGGCCATGGACAACCCTGTGGTCGTTGTAAGAGAGAATCCCTAGGTCCTCATTTTGTGTAGATGCCACAAGGTGGCAGCCACAGGTAGTGCTGAGTTTCCTCTCTCTGCAGATAGTCACCCTGTTGTTGGGTCATCATTGAAGAGAGCTTTCTGTCATGGACATGAACAATCCTGGGCGTTGTGAGAGACAATCCCTTTGTCCTCATTTGTTGAACATGCTGCAACGCACCCAAGGACGTATCCTGTGTTTCATGCAGCAAGACATACAGTGTCACTGTTAGAGCAGTGGATATCTCTTGTGTGAATCTCAAATACCATCCAATGGATGATGATGTTGCTTCAGGTTGTATTTGCCTTGTTTTTGGTTTCCACCACCTCGGAGAATCAAGGACCTGTGGATTGACCTGGGGAGCCAGGCGAAGGCTGATTAGGGGATTGTACAGGGGTATGAAATTTTACTGAAAGGCAAGCTCCATCAGAGCTGCTTATCAATGTCTTTGAGGGTCTCATATTCTGAATTGCATTAGTGTCTGTGTTGGCCTGAGTCCCTTGGGACTATGTTGTCAACTATCTGCAAGGATGTACTGTATGGATGACGGCAAGGGGAGTAGTAGACTATGGTAAACTCGCAGTCATATTGATAAGAAGGTCCGGACACCAGGGCGTGCGTGTAAATTTATGGACCTAAGTACGTGCCCTGCATCTTTGAATCAAATTTATGGGCATAGATACACGTTTTACATTTGTAGCAAATTGTCAGTCTTAACCAGAACTAGTAGTAGAGTACTAATTCCTGGCACATGTTGCACATCTGTGTATGTTTGGAGACATGCACATGTTTCAATTCTACAGCTTAGCAGCACAATAGTCCGTAGAATAGTCGTAGTTAGTGTTAGTAGGATAGTAAATTCCTATTCTGTGTATGTTCAGAGACTTGGGCACATGTCCGGAATCTACGGCTTGCTCCATGGACATACATAGATAGTAGCCGCAATGATCAGAGTAGATCTGAGAACCCTCTGTTTTTCCGACAAGTCATTGCCTTTGATGTGTGCTTGCAGATGTGTGTGGAATGTGTTGGTTTGCCCATGAATGCAGCCACACCTTTCTGATAAGTCCAGGGTGCCTGTGTTTGTTGGTCTGTGCATCGAGAAGGGTAGAATTGTGACTAGGTGCAGGTACGGGGCTAGGTCAGGGGTAGGTCTGAAATTTGACAGCAGGAGGACTATGGGAGACCTAGAGCGGAGAGGTATACATAGGAAAGATAACCAGGGACCCTGAAGTGATTTTCCAGGAACTTGTAGAGGCTTGGCCCGGACTCAGACCGACCAGGACGTATGATGATGGACCCTGGATGGAACTCAATCCCAAAGGAGTGAAGGTATGTCCTGTCCAGTGGAGGTTACAGTCTGCATGAGTTTTCCAGCCATTGGAAGTAGTGGGTGGTAGGCATGGAAGCAGCTCGGGTAGGCCTAGAATCGACCCGCAGAGGAGTAGCTAGGCCGGTGGACTTACTCGTCCAGTTGGTGCCTCACTCAGTGGCCAGAGTAGTTGCTAACTTTCCGGCCAGCATGCTCTGCTGTGAAGGGGCAGCAGTGGGAGCAGCTAGGAATCAGTACAACTTGAGTTTTGCATCATGATTGACCTCGGATCATAACAGGAGCAGCGGAATAGAACTGTTGCATTCTGGGCAAGTTTTGGTCCGAAATAGATGGAAGATTTTTTTTGTGGCCTTGAAGCACCAGTACATGCCAGCTATTGGCCGCGGGCCGCTTTCGGAGGCCGCCAGTTGATGATTCAGGTTATCTACGGTGCTCGGCCTGCTAAATTTTTGGAGAGGCTTAAAACAGGTTCTCCAGTTGCCCGGGGCCATGTACTGGTGGGTTAAAGCCTGGTGTTTGTTTTTTTGACCATTTTTTGCTTCGCAATGTTTTCGTGCAGGTGTGTTACCCCGTGCAAGCCCTCCCCCTGCTCCCCGCCCCCCCTCCCCCCCCCCTTGCTACACCTGGGCCTTGCACAACACCTCAACTATGGGCACCACCGTCAAAGGAAGCGTCTAACGGTGTGCTATCCAGGTTTCCCCCATGAAAGTGCAAGAAATGTACCAACGTATAAAGCACCACTCACCACAGATGTAATGCAACAACCAGCCACAGGAGGGACGTCGAGAAACGCGCAAGAGGTAAAAAAACTGATGTGAATTAAGCACATGAATTGATCCCACCTTTCCTCTTTGCCAACTCCCCCTCCTTTCAGTATCTAGCCTCTAGAACTGCATTAAGTTGCGGCTGTCTGAAGGACCACAACCTGGGATTTACAGCTCATAAACATTGACCGTGACTCTTCCCAGTCTCTTCCATGAAACACTGAACAATCAGGTCTGCCACAGACTGTTGCACTGGCAGCACCAGTCCACTGTGGGACTCAGATAACCAGGTCTTTATGGATTCCAGCCTACTAGGTGCTTGAAGGAGTCTTGCACGGCTGCGGACAGGACTCCTTTCCCAGAGGTTACCATGTGAGTTGTGGCATCAAGCTGGCCCCGAGATCATCTTCAGGAATAATAAACTGTATTGCAGACATTAAAAGCTCAAGTCGTGATAGCTTCGTTGCTCCACAATGGCTGAGCGGGACGAGCACTACCTGGGATGACAGCACTCACCTCAACAGAATGTGGAGCAGCATAGATGCTGCAAGAATGCACCACAGCGAGGACTACTTGGAGGCACTTCCATGATAGCTGAGAGGGGCAAGCACGACCTAGAATGGCAGCAATAATCTCACACAGAATGTGGAACAGTATAGATGCTGCAAAAATACATGACAGCGAGAACTACTTGGTCTCTTGTCCCATGTCCCCAGGGCCTTTGGGCACCTGCTTGGTCGTCTAGGGCCTTCCTCTTCATTTCTGACCACACCCGTAAAAGCATTCTCTATTGCTGCTATTTTTGGGAAATGGCCTTAAGGATCTGCACTGATACAAGTCCTTCTCACCCCTGCAGTTCCTGTTACCTCAGGTGGTTTGACTGTTCTGATGCTGATATGCTTGTTCAGCTGCATCACCGTTCTTCCCACAGCGCTAGGGGTTCTTGTCCTGTTTTTTTCAGTGTGCTAGAGTAGGCTTCATAGAATGGCACTATGGTGCGCTAGGGGTTCTTGTCCTGTTTCTTTCAGTGTGCTAGAGTAGGCTTCATAGAATGGCACTATGGTGACTGAAGCCGCCACTACCAGTGAGGACCTCCTTTTTCCTGAAATAGTGACTGCAGTAATACCGGATTTTCACCTGCGGGAGTGCCAGAAACCAGTCTTGTACCTTCCCTCACTCGACCTGGCAAGGCAGCCCCAGAGGTAATGGTGGCTTAGAAATAGGGCATATGCTGGAGTATAGAGTGGAACTACGGGGCCTTCAGAATTAGGGGCAATTGGTCGGAGGAGAGACCTTTTGAACCAATTAGGTCATTGTGAGGAGTAAAGAAAGGGCCTCTACCTGTGCATTTCCACTCTTCTCATCCGTGCAGTTATCTCTGCATGATAATTTCTTATTGCTCAAGTGTGTTCTGCAGGTCTGAGATCATGAGAAATGGGCTCTATTGTGTTTGGAACCTGCTGTCCTCGTATTTCGAATGGTTAATTGCCATCTTGGTGCTTAATGCATTCAGATCTTCTGGTTAGTGAAACGGGCTATGACAGAGGCAGAAGAGTGACATCCCAGTGGCATGCAGTTTCACGAGCAAGGAACTTATCCATTGCACATTCCAAACCAATCCAGTGGTCTCTCTCGTGTTGCAAGCTGAAGGTTGGTAAAGGGAATTGACGATCTGGTAGCCGAGTCCTGTTACATCTTTCTCTTTCCAAATGAAGTTCATTGAAAGCAAACCTTATGTCCGAGGGCCATTGTTTGTTTGTTTCTCTTTCGTTGTGTTGATTGCTGTTAACTGCTGCGATCAACATGGATTTCTGTGGTGCGTTATGTCCTCGATCCCTGACCAGGGAAGTTTGGTTTCCACTATGTAAGGAAAAATGTTCTTTTTCTTGTTTTAAAGGGGTGCTGGGGTCCTTCAGGGCATCCGTTAAATCTGGAACGATACAGAGAAGATTAGCATGAAAGAAAAGGTGTATCGGGTCTTCCAAATAGGTGGGGCACCCTGTAAGCTATGATAAAGAACTCTAACACAACGGTAGTCAATCATGTGCGGCAGTTGCGGATTGCTGTTTTCGTCACGGCTCCTTGTTTCTGTGCCTTTGGCAACTCATTATAAGAAGCGCTTTGTTGTGATTTGTTTGCTTGTGACGTGTTGTGAACAGCAGTCAGAGGTGATGGCGCTGCGGATGGTGATGGAACTGCTTCTGGAGCAGACACAGTGGCGGTCGTTGGCTCTGATGGAGGAGATGAACCTGTGGAAGATATGGCGTTAGGCCCTGCACCTGGTGTTGACTTGGCCGTTGTATTTCCAAAAAGCAAAGACAAACGTGAGTGGCTTGCACAAGGATGCTCTTGTGTGTAAGATTGGCAGGGATCAAAGGTTAGAGAAATATGCTGTCTAGTCAGTTGAAACATGGATCCCGGGTGCTTGGTTTGTTGCGCTCCTGGATGGTGTCATATTCAAAGTTCAAACTGAATTTCAAGATGTCCTTGGTCGGTTGAGCTGAGCATTTTCCCTTGGCTGAGAGTATACAACGCAACCTAGTTTATTATGCACTCTGGAGTGCAGGGTGTCAGAGTGAAGCGCTCGTCCGATGCCACAAGGCTTGTATCCAATATGGAGAATGGCTCGCAATTTGTCTGGTGTCTGTGCAGAGAGCTTTTGTCTGTAGCTCGTTCTTTTTTTTTCATTTCGAAGTCGTTTTTTGAGAAAGTTAGCCGACTGCTTTGACTGGATAATGAATTGACAAGCTTGTAGATGTTCATTGGTGTGGTGTTGATGTGGCTGTGTGCAGTTCTTCCGGCAGGACAGCCAGCCAGCGTTCTTCTTGGCATCAACAATGGAGGTAAGCAGATGCCGAACTGTCTCCGTGCTTTTTTAGTCAGATGCCGGCATTCAAAGAGCATCAGGAGGTTTTGAGGATTCTTTGCGGTCATTTCTGAGTAATACCGGTTGACAGGGCTATTAGTCACCATCTTGAGCTGAGTCGATAAGGGTTTCCCAACCGGCTTGATTAATAAGACATAATATGTTGCACATCACACGATTAACAAACATGAGTTTCGGGTGTGGATGAACATTACACAAGGGTTGCTCATCCTTTGGAATGAACAGTGCTTGCTAGGCTGTGCATGCTTGGAAGATGGTGCACATGAATTACGTCTTCAAAACACTTCCAACCGAGAGTAGGTGCACAACTACAAGGCCACCCTGGAGAAAAATCTTGCAAGTATTCTAAAGGAATGAGGATGATGGATAATGGCTAATGGAATGACTGTTTCGGCGATTTTGATGATGGTCTTGTGTACAGGCCAGGTGATGGGGCATTTGTATGTGGTCTCTGCATTTTCTGTGGCTGTACGGTGGGGTTTAGTGGTGCGTTTTGGTTCTGTGTATTCGTCATTGTGCGTAATACTGCGTATATCGCGTGCTGATATGGCAACGCCAGAGCGAGTCTGAACTTGGGGTTGAAACTCAATCTGGCAGCGGGCTTGAAAGATGTGAGGCTTGGAAGGCAGATGGAAACTGATTTCCTGTTTTGAATTGTCTGGAGTTGCGGGGCAAGTTTTTGCTCATGAGTAGGCTGTTATTTGTGCGCTTGCTTGTGGTTCCTCTTATCGTGTCTCAAACAGCCGAGTCTGATGTCAAAGTGACGGAGATCCGCGCAACCTTGAACTACCCATATAACCACAGCTATGTTTTCCAGAAGTTCTCTCCACAGGTATGCAGGACATTGCAGTTCTCTTTGAGAAATGCATGTTCCCTTCGCCTTGACTTTTCATTGCATTTAGCTCCAGTAGAATGTTTGTCAATTCTGGGTGTTGAAGTGTATGATAATCTTTGGCTAGCATTTTGAACAAGTTATCATGAAATGGCTCCCTCTGTGTGTTTGCACAGGCTCTTCTGAGGAACTCTTTGCTCTCTCTGATATGCTTGTTCACCAAACTTTGTTCTCAGATTGACTCGTTTTCACTTTCACCTCGTTGGCAAATCCCTATCATCACTCAATGTCCTACCTGTATTATCCATCGTCTTGTGATCTTGTCTGCTCTTTCGGCTTTGAACGAGACCTGTTTTGGGTCTAATGAATGCCTAAAGGTGTAAAACTCGCACTAGGAGTTTTTTTTTTTTGGCACCAGGTTTGGTTCCTGTTAACGGATCTCAAGTGTGAGTATTCCCTAATGAAGCACAGGATACAAGTACAGTTTGGTTCCTGTATTATCCATCGTTTGTGTTCTTGTCTGCTCTTTCGGCTTTGAACGAGACCTGGTACATTAGAAGGTGATTGCCAGAAATAGACCGGCCTGTTTTGGGTCTAATGAATGCCTGAAGGCATAAAACTCGCACTAGGAGTTTTTTTTAACGGCAACAAGGTTTGGTTCCCGTTAACGGATCTCAAGTGTGAGTATCGCCTAATGAAGCACAGGATACAAGTACAGCTCTCGCTGAAGCGCGTCTTGTATGAAATAGCATTTCCATATTGTAGATTCCACTCTCCCTTCCATCCCCCCTCCCCCCTTTAGATCCCCCCTTTAAATCCCCCTTCCTGGCCCCTTTGGTCTTGCTTTGTGTGGCTGTATCTTCCTCTCTCTCTCTCTCGCTCTCCCCTCCTCTCTCTCCCTACTCCGTTGTGCACCTTTGAAACGACCCTGACTAGGATGAGGTCAAACTAAATCAACATGCAGTGAATTGCAGTTGTCTAGGCGGGGGTGTATGCTAAATGTCCCGGTTGTGTGGCTGTTTTCAGCCCCACGGGGCTTGATCCTTTGGACTGTCCCTTAGTAGGGACTGCTCTTAGTTTAAGTGAGCTGTAGTTGTTGTCTTTTTTGCAGTTACTTGCTGGAGGCCCGTAGTCTTTTCCTGCATTGGGTTGTAGGGTCTCCTTGAGGGTCGTTTTCAGTCTAGATTCAGGCTGTCTGTTTTGTCCGAAGAGGTAGCAGTCCAGTAGGTCGTGGAGTCCGTAGTCTGGGAGTGTACACAGCACTGCCTGTCGAAGGTAGTCGGGTTCTTTGTTCGTTTTTATTACTTCTTTCCACGAGGTGGGAAAAGAGGTCATGCCTGGATGCTGGGCTATCACCAGCTGGGCTGAGCATCATCTTCCTCCTGTTGCTGTCGGCCATAGCTAGGGCCAAACAATTCTCCTTGTGACAGCGCTGGTCATCAGGCCCTGAGCGCTGTAAAGTGCCTCCCCTTGTGTTCTGTTGGGGCTAGACAGCGCTGTCATCAAATATATCTCGTCGTTTTCATCAAGTTAGTGTTCCTCTTCTTCATCCTGGGAGATGCGCTCCCCTGCAGAACGGACACTTCATCTGCAGTGGGCATTATGATTGGTGCAGCATGGTCTGTTCAGTTCAGGAGGGTGTGTGGCGATTGATGGGTCTGCTAGGTTGAGTGCTGGAAGTGGAAGTGGCTCCATAGCTGGACGTAGAGGGAGGACTCTGTAAATAATTGGTCTGTGGATGTTGTAACGTGGTTGGGATCCCTGGGAATTTCGTCCAACTGATTGAGTTGGAGAGAGACGGTATTAATGGGAATTGATTTAAATCTATTTTTGGTTTTGAGCTTCTGCTGTGTATTCTCATCATATGGTTTGGTGTGGATTGCTCTCTCCAAGTCATATCGTCATTTGCACATGTGTATAGGAACGTGTGAATGCCATGCTGGATTCGTTTTCAATCCAGCATGAGACCATGGGAGGACTCTGTAAATAATTGGTCTGTGAATGCACATAACGAACATATAACCCCCAGAAGCCTACAGACTAAGCCCAAGGCCAGCAGACACCCCCAAAAAGCTGAGACCAGTTAAACCTGGCCTGAGAAAGTCAACAGTCAGGTCCAGACCTGTGGAAGTCAGGAGTAGAAATTTATTGTCACCTGGATCCGAGGCGTTGAGCAGCGATGCATTTGGACTGGGCAGAGGTCAGGCTTTGTCTCATGGTGCATTTTCCAGCTCCCATCTGGGGTTTTGAAGTAATGCATCTCGTCCATCTATTCATTCAGGACAGACTTTTTTAAGCTCAGCTCCATGGCCTGCTGCACTCATTACGTCAGTCCGCTATCTCCTACGCATCCACTGTTTAGCATTAATGATTCCTCTTGCGGTGCCACATTGGCATGGGAGCATTTGAGGCCCAATGTGACAGAACTGTCGTCTTCCTTCGAGCATAAGGCATATGTGTTGTAAACGAATACAGCACATACCGTGCATTGTATTTGTTTAATTCGCATATGCGTTTCAGTCGAGTTGTCGAGAGCAACTTTACGGACACCAGGGGGTCCGGTTGAGGCTGAGTAGGCTCAGTTCTGGACCGTGGCGAAGGGCCTCGGAGCACTGAAAGAAACGGAGAAAAAAAGTCTCATTGTACCTTTCCGTGTTCTGGCCGAAGATTCACTCATTTTCCCTACTTGGGGCGTCACTCCGCTCCTCAGCAAATGTGCAAATGCTGGAATATGGAAAGATACAACGCTGTGCTTTCTGTCTTTTCTGCTCCTGGTGAGCAGTGAAACGAGGCCCTGGTCAGTGGTGGAGTGAGGTGCGTCGCATCCCTCCAGGCGTCAGGCTTTCACTTTTTTGGCTGTCAGATAGGGCGGTGTGCAAAGGGCAGGTTTGCACACATACACACACACACACACACACAGACACACAGAGAGAGAGAGAGAGAGAGAGAGAGAGAGAGAGAGAGAGAGAGAGAGAGAGAGAGAGAGAGAGAGA